GCGATGGAACAAGAAAGGACAGGGGAGCAGACATGACAAGTCAAAGTCCACATGTTACAGCTGTGGCAAAACAGGTCACTTTGCAAGGGACTGCCATATAAAGAACAAGGTTGTTCGGCAGTTGAATATGATAACCTGCAGTGACAACGAAGAGGCCGACGATGAGTGGGAAATCCTCACCGACAACATGGGACGCCTGTTAGAGGACCCCGACTCCGACTCTGAGGGAGATTATATCGGATCACCCAGTGGCACTGTTATGACTCAAGGGCAGGACCCAGGAGCATACGGTCGCACACCAACACCACATCCCAGGATAGTGGTGGAACACGCAGACAGTCCGTCGGAATGCAACAAGGTGACACTACCAGAAAGAGAGGAGTCACGACGCAAGGAGCATATGGACCGACTGTGGCCTCGTCAAGGGAGAAGCAAGAACAGCAGATGCAACCTGCCTGATAACCCTGAAGCTATGCAGCGCCTAGCCAAGAGCACACTGCACCAAAGCATGGGTACACAGGCTGAGGGAACCAGTGAGGTTAACCTCAAGGAAGCATGCGAGCAAGCGCTGTTTGCAGTCAACAATCTACTCAAGACCGAGAGCGAGTGGCATGACGAGTGGTTTCAAGAATGGGCACACAACAACCATGCGACTCGTGAGCACCTAGAACAAGTTGCCCGCAACCAGAGAGGACTCAATGAGCCTGACTTTGATCGACAACCTATTAGGCTCCCAAGCCCTCGCCCACACTATGACCTGGACCACCGGAATCCTCACCACAAAAGGATAGACTGGACCTACTGTGCATACAACGCTTGTATGATACATTACCAGGAGAAGGTTGATGCGGGATGGTTTCCTTCACCACGCACCACCTGTCTACAGCCTTGGTACAAGTGCACCAACGATATATGCGAGATACACCTGATTGACAAACGGTCTAAACTCCACTTTCCGGGTACTGAGGACCCGCAAGCGGGAGTACAGATGCAGCTAGTTGTCAACGGATCATGCTTCAACCCACGATGGCAGAACTGCCTGAATCCCGCCTGTGAAGCTCACCGAGCAAGCAAGGACCAGAATGGATTTGACAATGAGGAGACTTTTTTAGGCCAGCGCCCACAGCCTCCAGAACGCAGTTCCTTAATGTGCTGGGCACCGACTCACTAATTAAGATACCCGTTAGTATCAACGGAAGGCGATTCACGGCAATGATAGACTCTGGAGCTGAAGGAAGCTTCATATCACGCAAGGCAGCCAA